TCTTATTTATGACCACACTCAAAACATCTAAGTTGGGCATGACATACAGCATGCCCAAGAAACAGTAAGTAAACCAGTAGATGTAGTTATTCCTTGTTTTCCTTTTCTTCTTCCTATTCCTGCCATATAGTTGGTACTTAATAAATGCTTGCTGGTAAATAAACACATGTAATAACTTTAAATATTTTACATGATTATAAATATTTGTACATTCTACAATCAGACAAAAGCAGCTGAGGCAAACTCTGAAATTTCCTTTTGCAAGTAAACAGCAAACAAATTGTATTCAACCATATGTGTGAAAAAGTCATAGAGGCCTCCCACCCCCAGGCCCAGATGATATTAAGAATTACTTCACATAAACAAAACATAAGGGATCTTCAAAAAATCAAACCCTAGTTGTTTAAGTATGTTGACTGCAGAGAAATGCATGTAGACATGGAAATAAAGGAGGATATAAAATGACAACAAAACTTGCATAAAATTGGTCTCTCATTCATGCATTTAACTATCTAATTCACAAGCTTTAATGTTTCAGCCAAACAGATGTACTAAGTTTATCTCTATAATGGGCCATACTGCTTTTGCACAGTTGGATTCCCTGAGCTATTTTTCCAGAATGCTTTGAAGTTACAGACTTTTTTTAAAAATCAGAATTAGTAAACAACTGGCATATATTTATCATTTTTCTTTTAGCTGTCCCTAAACTGTTTTTTCAGAAATACATCCGATAATACATGAAATGCTTTTTATCCCTATTCAATCTGATCTAGTGACTCAGTAAAGACTGTAATCTGAATAACAGCTGTACTTCTTAAAAAGACTATATTTTTGTTGAAAATTATCACTAATTTTAACGTCATTGCCTGTCTATGGACACTGTCATTGACTGATTCTTTTTTTCATAGAGTTTAGGAGCTTTTCCTTAATTTATTTTTAATCAAAATGTAAAGTTGCTTTCTGTATCTTTTCGCGAATTGATCTTTTCATTGTTAGGAAGAATGGCAACATTTCAGAGATGAAGTAGTTAACCATACGCAATTCCACATTATCCATCACTAGAAATTTGTATTAATGTACAATCAACCTACAGGCTGTACAATTCATTTAAAGGCTCAGTTGGGATGGAAAAGCTTAACATATTTATAACTTTTGATATCTGTGTCATGTTTACATAACTAGAAAATCATGCTAACCATATGGGTAATTTTACTTATCTTTTTCTCTTGGATGTGCCCCCAAAATTAGTTTGGCTACCTGGAGGCAGAGTTCAGAAAGCATGTCAACATCCTAAGAAATAAAGGTTCAGCAAATTGGATACCTTATTTATAAGTTCCTCATCTTAGCTACTTAATAAAATACACCAGTAGAGACATTCTGAGTAATTTCCTGTTAGGTTTAGTGAATTTAGATCATTGGGGAACACATTATAATCTAATAAGCACAATATTGCAGTTAATGCCATGCTTTGTTTTGTTAAGTATTTAGCATGTATTTATTCATTTAGTTGATCAGTTTGTATTTATCAAGCACTTAATATGTACAAGACACTGAGCTATAGGCAAAGGGACTATAAAGATAAGACACTGTTTTATGTTCAAAGGACTCAGATGGAGACAAATGAAAAGGCAATTACATAATAGTTTATAAGTGTTATAATAAATATATCTTCAGAAGTTTAGAAGATGGTTCCTAACCCCAGCAAATATTTCCTAAAAGAAGTGAGTTCAAAAGAAGAAATAGAGGATGCATAGTAAATTACCATATGAAAGCAAAGAGTAAGAATAGAGATTAAGCAGGTTAGTAATAAAGACATTTCAGGAACTGAAAGGAACAGAAGCAATGGCAAAGAGTCATGACACAGTCTTGTGTTCAAGGACAAAAGCCATTTGGTGTAACTGAACAATTAAATGTGAGGCATTGGTGGTAAGAGATGAGAATTGAGCCCGGGACAGGAGCCCAATGGTAGAATACTGTTCCTGTTCCAAATAACTCAGACTTCTAAACTGTGAGCATTGAGGAGCCAAGAAAATATTTAAAGAATGGGAATTATGTGTTTAGCTCTCCCTGATAGAAATAACTTGAATATATATGCAAGTATGTGGAACATATGTTTGCAGGGGACAAAACAAAAAAGAAAGACCTGTTAACAAGATTCTTATAGTTCAGAGGAGAAATGAAGTAGGTCTAATCTAGGTAACAGTGTAGGCTTATCTGTCTAGGTGAGACAAGCTTTTCACTTCTAGAAATATTTAGAAGGTAAAATTCATAGGGCTTGATAACAGTTGGATATAAAGGATAGAAGGAAGACGAAACCAAAACTGTTTTCAAAGATTCTAACCTGTGTATCTGAGTGGCTGGCAATGCATCAACTGGAATAAAGAATATGAGAAGCTACAAAGCTTTAAAGTGTAAAATAAATTCAATGTTTGACATGTTGGAAATCATGGTGCTTTTGCTATATCCAGAGAGTGGTCTAGTGAGCAGCTGGATATATAAAACAAAAATCAAAGAATGGGTGATGTAGGTTTGGTGGTCAACTGAATATTGGTGGTTATTAAAACTATGTACAGAAAATTGGGTGGATTGGGAAGAAGTAAGGTGAAAACAAAGGTTATTTACATCTAACTATACCAACATTTATTTTTAGACTGCTCATATCTATCAGCATCTCTTAGCTCTTTCTCCTCATTTATTGACGACTTTGGCACCTGGCTCATTTTCTTTCTCTCCAATCTGAACTGACTATCATTGCAGATGGTTCATTTAATCCTCTGGGCTCTCAATTCCTTGATCAGCTTTGAAGTCCCTCACCAGTACTTAACTTCAGGAATCCATAAATACAAACTTCAAACTCCCTCACACTGATATTTCCACTTTTATTCTTTGACCTCATCAAGAACTCTATTCTCTCCCACTACTACTCTATTACTCTCCCATCTTACTCTTCTTGAATTGTCATTATTGGTCTTTCTATTTTTTTATTGCTTCATGTACCCTACGAGCTACCATTTTAACCATTATCTTGCCCATAATCTAAAATCATTTGCTTTGTTGTCCTTTTTCTATGTGCCTAACTATCCATAGCTGAGTCTGATTTGTTTTCATTTTTTACTTATCTGGTAAGCAATTATGTGACCCTTATATGAGTTATTTTATCTAATAACTTCATAATTTTACCTGTTTTAATTCTTATAACAAAGTCATGAGACAGGCACAACCAGGATGTTCCCTACATCATAGGATGTTCCTATGAGGAACTCACACCATCATACAAGTTTGTGATCCCCAACCTGGACTGTAACATTTTTTTGTTTCATTGACTCTTTTTTTCTCTTTCTGGAATGCTCTTTATGGAGAAATTAACTACCATTCTGTGAGAAGGGCCACACTATCCCATGAAGAGAGACCATATAAGAAAACTGAAGCTACCAGCCCTCAGCCAGCATCAGTTACCAGACATGTAACTGAAATGGACAAGCCTTCAGATTAGTTCATTTTCTGAGTTGTCTAGTTGAGTCCTCAGACATCACTGAGTAAAGACAAACCATCCTTCCTATGTCTTGTCTAAACTTCTGACCCACAGAATCGGTAGGTTTTGGAGGATCTGGTGATGCAGCTACAGTCACTGGAATACTACCAATAACAAGTTCATTGCTAAATACAGTAAGTATCTTTCAAGTCTTACTTTTACTTGATTTTTTGAAATGTTTAATGTAGTTGGCCAAACCTGCCATCTTTAAATATTGTCTTTATTTGGTATGTATACCACTACATGCTATACAAGATACTTGGGTCTTTCTCATTACTCCTTATCAGTTGCCACTGAAAGCTCCTCTAACCCATTCCTTTTCTTAGAGCTCTGTCCTAGGCCATCTCTGGACCAGTGGACTCAATCAGGAGTTTGCAGTTGAGAACAATTACTCAAATTTAATGAAAGATCTAATAGCAAGTGTGAATAAAAAAGAAGATGCTATTGAAATTTATAAATATTAAGGCAAAAGTGTCATGTATCTTCATTGTGACACATATTTCTCCTCTTTAATATATGTGATAGGTTTGTAAGAAACTATCAATCCCCTAAGTATTTTATTATTTCATTCTGTGCAATGACAATAGTCTCAAAAAAGGAGTTTAGTAAGTATTGTTCTATTCTAAAATGGTGAGAGTAATAGAATTAACTAGACAACTTTAAAGAATAGGGAAGATTAAATATTGAATAACAAAACAAAGACATTCTTTAGAATATAATGAAGTTAAAAGTTAAATCATTGGTAAAGATTAATTAACTATTAAGATGAAAGATAAGGGGCATCTGGGTGGCTCAGTGGGTTAAAGCCTCTGCCTTTGGCTCAGGTCATGATCCCAGGGTCTGGGATCGAGTCTCACATCAGGCTCTCTGCTCAGCAGGGAGCCTGCTTCCCCTCCTCTCTCTCTGCCTACTTGTGATCTCTGTCAAATAAATAAATAAAATCTTAAAAAAAGATGAAAGATAAGACAATATTTGTTATCAGAATCTTAAATTAATCAAAGTTTTTCACTGTCACTGAATATTTTTAATATATTAAATAATGTCTCTGAACAAAGAACCAGTCCCAACATGTCTTACATATGTAAATAATTAAACAGTGTCTGTTCTGGTAGTAAGCTATTTCATCCCAATAAGGCTATTTCTCAGAATGTCAGAGAAAGGAAAAAAAAAAATTAGTGGAGGAGGAGGGGAAATCTGATCTTGAGTTTCTTGTTAACCTTACCTCTGACATTCATTTTTGGCTTTGTTGATGAAATTGAACCTACATCAAAAGATAATGAACCATTTTTGTGGAAAACCTGCTGTGCTTGAGATCCTCTAGGAAAGGGTAGGAAATATTCTTTTCTGAGCATTTCTGTGAAGACCCTTTAGAACACTTATTGATGTCAGATACAGAACATTCTTAACTGATTCATGGCATTTGAAACATATTCCTTTTTTAGACTAAAAAGCATTTTTTTCTCCTTACCTTGCTGTACAAAGGATCCATACACAAACCACATGGAATTGTAGAGAGTAGTAGAAGTCATTGATCCCATTTGTAATCGTGGAGGATTAAGCCAATTCAGGAGATAGACCAGAAGACCCACCAGAAGAACAGTGCCAGCGATGCAAGCCCATAGAGACAGATCAAATGGTGCAAGACAGGCAAACATATCCACTGTCTTTTCAGCCCTTCGAAGTAGTACTCCCACTGAGTAGTCCATATAGCGTGTTGTAAAGTCCACCACATTCTCACGATCCGGGGTGATGGTTAAAGCAGAAATCCCTATGTCGGCTCTCTGAGAAATTGAAAGAGAAAATATTAAATGAACAATGTGAAAAACAATTTGATTTGTGGTGCTTCAGCCTGCCTTAAGGAAAAGAAAACAGATGCCTCCGGCAACGTCTTTAGTCTTTTTATATAAACTGAAAAACACTGCAGAGATTTCTTAGAGGCAAACTCTGTGTAAATTTTGCATTTCTCACTGCAAATCTTGCCCTACCAGAGTCAGAAGAAATTACCTTGTTCATGTTATCAGTGCATGTGAAATCAGTGAAGAATATTTCAGACCCAGTATACCTGAAGGAAATTGTCTTTTTTCCTTGGGTCATTTTATCAAAGCCATCATTAGCACAGGAGCAAAGGCAAAACTTATTCTAAAGAATTCTTTCTGAGAAAATGCTCCCAAGATATATAATTATGTTCTTAACATGTAAATTATTAAGCAGATAAATTAAAAAACTCCCTCAACATAGCATTTTACTCTTGGTTTAGATTTCTTTGCATCAGAAGTATACATATATTATATATATATTCTTTCTCTCTCTCTCTCTCTCTCTCTCTCTCTATATATATATATATATATATATTCTCTGCATCAGAAGTACATATATTTTTTAAAGACTTTATTTATTTGACACAGAGAGAGAGAAAGAGAGAGAGAGAGAGCACAAACAGGGGGAACAACAGACAGAGGGAGAGGGACAAGCAGGCTGTTCACTGAGCAAGAAACCCGATGTGGGGCTCGATCCAGGACCTTGGGGTCATGACCTGAGCTGAAGGCAGATGCATAACCAACTGAGCCACCAAGGCACCCCCAGAATTTATATTATTAAGCTCTAAATATATTATAATTTGTTAGAACTTTCATATAGCTCTAAGCTATAATGTCATTTGCTGGAAGTCTCTACCATGATTTTATTGTATAAACCTCAGAAATGTTTTAATGAAAAATTAAAGATTAAGTAGACCTAATTTTTCTTGGAGTAACAACCCTTCTTTTCAATGTGTATCTCTTTAGATTCGGTGATAGCACTCAAATCTACAATACATGCTGTTTTACTTATTTGAAACATTTAGCAGAATTGCAGTGAGATCACAGAACAAATGGATTACATTTCAATTCCTTGATATGAGAACACACATTTAAATACCTAAAAGACATACTTGGTTTGAAATAATGATCCATGGCTATGATTGAAGCTGTGGGAAGCTCCTTCCAGATAAATACAGACAATAGTAATTGTTGAACATTTTGTTAATATTTTTCTTTCCTTTGCATTGTTTTATGAAGGAGTATAGAAACTGTTTTTTTGGTTTTTTTTGTTTTTGTTTTTTGGAGACCAAAACAAATAAACAAACAAGCAAAAACAAAAACACAAAAACATGGAAAGTAACATACCTAATGGAAAGCTAAATCACTTCAAATAAATCTAGTCTCTAAAGTAATAATTGCCTCAAAACTATTCTAAGCTAAATTTAAACTTCATGTGTGTTTGTATGTGTGTATATATCTACATTTATACATATTTTCCAGCCCATATATATTTGCTGCGAGGTCCCGCACTAAGTAGTTAAATAAATTTTCTTATCTAATCCTTACAATAAATCATGAATTATGTGTTTTCCCCTCCATTTCATAGATGGGGAAACTACAAGAATTAAGTAACTCATTTAGTTAGGCTAATAAACACATAATCCAGTACTAAAGCTTGGTTTTTCTTACTCCCAAACCTGTGCTGGTAACCGCTGACACACTGCAAAAACTCCTTTGTTTTCCAAGTAACCCATATAGTAGGTGGTTAAGATAACTAGTTTTAGGACCATCTTTACCTTAAAAGAGTCTAAAATTTTGTGGGTTTTTAAAATTACACTATTTACATTGCAACAAGGTCATATTAGTATAAACACTGTGAGTTTATAATTATTAACAGAGAGGTATTAAACTCAATAAAATTACATTAAAATGAACTTTCAGAGAAATAATTGTTATTGCTTTCAAACTCATGTATTTATTTTCTGTAGCTAGATATTAGGAATTAGGTCTTTTCAGGTTGAAAATCCACCTTGGATCCTTATCTCTCTAGTTCTGTCTTTTCTAAACTTCAGTATATCCATTTGTGAAATGAATGTACATAAGTTTAGTGTGATTATTGTGAGATGACTCGTTTATCTTAATTCAGTGGTGAATAAATATCTCTGCAAGATTCAATTAGGCTTTCAAAAGTTGTGTTTACTTTTCAGGACATTATAGTACTATGGATCAGTAATTTAGTAATTGATGCACTAGTGACCCAAAGAATTTTATGACTGAATTAAAATCAGAAAATTTCCCCTAAGGAAGGACTTACTGACAAGTTGATGGAATACTTGTAAATGTTTGTCAATATTTTGCTGATAAATAATTAAATGTTTAACACTTAAATGATTGTGAATTGGAATATTCATATACTAATTCTACTAATAGATACTTAAAAGTATCATGAACGAATTTCTATAATGGAAAAAAGATATCTAGGGAATAATATGTGCTTTCTCTTTGGAAAAGGAAACTGATTATATTACATCTGCTAAAATATATACTAAACATAATAATTACTTATCATTTTCCTATGGAGAGCTTCCTAAATTCTGGTCCACTTTTAACACTTGGCTATCCTGTTTTTAAGGAGAAATTCTCTGTCTCCTTGTGGAGGGTATATTGGAATTATTTAATGGCCTTATTACATGTAAATGTACATTACTTATTACAAGTAAATGTAAAATACTTTTATGTACAGACACAGCATAAGCATATATGCACATGTTTTCCTATCTCTCAGATTTGGATACACCTTCCTAAGGAAGTACCTCACCCTCTTCTCCAAAATCAGTAATACAGTAGATCATTTGGCTTGATATAAATATGTGATAGTCCTTACTTGTATGAAAGAAGTTTTACTGGAGCAGGAAAAAAAAAAAAAGCCAAGAACCACAGATTCATAAAGATAGCCCAAAAACTTCTTGAACATTACCAAAATACCAAAAATGATCAGAAACAAATAATCATTCCTGCCCTCCCTCCCTCCTTCCACTGCCTTTCTTCCTTTCTTCTTTCCTTCCTTCCTTCCTTCCTTCCTTCCTTCCTTCTTCCTTCCTTCCATACTTCTTTCCTTCTGTCCCCCCTCTGTCCATTCACCCTCCCCTCCCCCTTCTCTCCCTTCCTTCCTTCTTTCATTTCCTTCCTTATCATTTATTTATCTATTTATGCATACATTTCTATTTACTTGTCCAGTTTCTGCTTTTCAAATCCTTACCCTCATGAAACCTTTAATCTTCTCAGTACTCCCTGCCCCAACTCTTGTAAGATGACTTTCACTGCTATTTTATAGGGAACATAGAAGATATCAGATTAAAATTCAGGCTTATTTCTATCTCTAACTTATATCCCACACCCAATCTATCTATTTAACCTCTGTTTACAATGGATGAGCTGTCTTCCTTCCCAAAACTGTCCCTCCATCAGTAAACTTACCAATAAAATTCTCTCTTTCAATTATTTAATCTCCTGTCTTTTATGTATTAAACATCATCCTGTCAACTGTAAATTTCCTGTGAAAAGATTCTGTAACTACTTTGCATTAGAACAAAAATGAAAACAGAAAAGCCTGTCCTCTTCTTCATAACTTCTGAATCTGATTGCCTTTTCTCTTCCCTTTTTCACAGCTTTCTCTAAAGATTTGTCTCTATTTCCAAACCTCCTGGTAAGTCCGGGAAGATTCTCTTGTGCCCATATTGTTAAGTACTTTATTATTCAATGGACACAGTACTTCATAATTTTTGTATTGCTGAGTCAAGTGGACACAACTTAGTGCTCATCTGTTTAGGTTTCTTGATATTTGACAGTGATGACTGTTATCTCCATCAAAAACACTCTTTTCCTTGAATTTCATGACATGATATAAGTTTCTTTTTCAGTTCTTTTTTTCAAGTTCACATTGGCAATGCTCTGGAGTTGGGCCTTACAGACTTCTCTCATTTGAGATCTTCTGCCTAAGCAATTCCATTTATATCCATTACTTCCATTGTCCCCATTCATACATGAGATTTATAAATTTGTATTTCTAGATACAGATATGAGCTCTGGAATATAGACTGATATATGTAACTACACTTCTATCATATGTCTCAAAAATACCTCAGATTTAACATGGCCAAGACCATATTCATGTGTTTGACTCTAACCAGTCCTCCACCAGTGTCTCCTGCTTCAATGAATATCCTTTCACAGAAGTCTTAAATCTTGGTGGTCTCATTATATTTTCCCATCTTGTGCTTCCTATCATGTCTGTCACTGTTGATTCTACCATGTGGAAATCCTAATATCTATCCACTTCTCTACTATTTCCAGCTCTCACCATTGCTTTTATGGGCTCATTAGGAGCCTACCTGAAATCTACCATTTTCTTCTCTTAATCTTCTTAGTGCAGTCAAAGTAATCTTTCTGGAGAGCAAGTCTAATACTATCCCCTGTCACAGTTAAAGGTTTTCCACAGATTGTACTGCTCTTAGGAAAAGGATTAAACTCTTTAACATAGCCTATACATACTTAGATAGACTATCCTCAACCTACCTCAACATATACACACTGGACCATTTTCCTTTCCAGCACTTCTTCCTGATGCATATAGTCTTTGTATATGCTATTCCCACCAAATGGATTGGCCTTCCTGAAAGTTCTTCAAGTAAATTCTTGTTCATTTTCATAAATCAACTCAATTAACACTTCCTCAGGGTAGCTATGTATGACCCTTTTTGATTAGAATAATAAGTCTATGGCCATACCACCCTGAACGCGCCCAATCTCGTCTGATTAGAATAATAATTGTTACGTATACTATCAGAGGCCTATATTCCTCACTTCTCTAGTAGTTGTGACAGTTGTAATTTTACAAATATGTGTGATTCTTTGAATAATGTCCGATTTTTCTAAGAGACTGCAAGCTCCATGAAGGTAAAGATTATGACTTTTTTTTTTTA